TAATTGTTTCAATTTTGTTAAAATCTATTTTTTAAGGTATGGGGTGAAAATTGTCAAGGCATTGAAATGAGAAGAAGAATCAAAGACAATTTCATATTCAGGCCTGAAGACTCACTGGTTTGTGTATTACTTGACAGGATATAGGTTACATATTTTGATATGTGACACTAACATTTTAGGTCAATCAAGTTGATTTTTCTTACTATATGTACAAAATACTCCATTAACCCTTCTGTGATCTGTGTTTCCAAACCTATTACTACTCTTAACGAATAAATACTAATGTTTTAATCAACAGGATCAATATTAACTTAAGTTCATCATTGAAGACCTTTATGAAGATAAACTATATGGTACACTAAAGACCAAATAATACTGGAGAAGGACCCGGGATGAATCCAGTGTTTCTAGACAGATAAATCAGGGAGGGGAGTAGAGCGAACCTTATCGAAACTTTGAGGTTAAAGACTATGTGATAACGAGGTATATTAATAATTGAAGATCTGATAATATACTTTCTGATGATCTAAAAATTAGTATTCGGAAGTACTGCTTCCTGTAGTAAATTGGAACTGAGCCAACTGTTTTCCAATTAATTTGTGCTTTTAAAGTGTAGTGACAACAGCGAGGGCTCCAGGCTCGAGTTCTGGCTTCTAAAGTTCTGTTGGAAAAGAAGGGCAATGACAATTTTAACTTACACCTCAGGGGAGAGGGGCTATTTCCAGGGGAAGTATTTTCAGTGTTGGTTGGGGGAAGATAAATGGTTTTGCTGATTTTTTTTTTCTGAAGTAATATTTGGTTTACAATGAAAATGGATTTGCGTTAGATAGGTCACATTTAACTTTTCAGGCCGAGTGGTACAAAAAATGTGTTTCCAGCTGCACCTCGGCAATGTAAACCTTTAGAATTACCTGAATTGGGAACAATGAGGTGACCTCCCAGGGAGTTGAAGGTGCCAAATGCCGTACAGGATGGATCCGTCTGTCTTGCGAGACTCTGATTCTTCAGATTGAGAGCCTCATTCTCTAACAGGGACTGAGTCATCTGTGGGGACAGCTTGGACGTGAACTCTGAGAGGTCATCTTGGGGGGTGACAGCACCGGAGGTGTTGTACACTTTGATTTTCAGGTTGGGCAGTGGATCCAGAATTGGAGAGTTGGTCATTGGGATTTTGTCCGAGACGTCATGCAGGGCATAGACGGGTCCCCTGTACATGGCCGCAGCTGATGTGAGATCCAGGGGCACTGCCAGGAGATCTGGGTCAGAAGAGAAAAGATTCTATTTGTATTCTCCATTCAGGCCAGCCTACATCAGTCAGACTCCCCCTCACACTCTCCGAGCCCAGAGCAAAGCAGCTCAGCTAATATTAGAGATGTATAGATGCTAAGGCTCTACTGGAAACAGGGCGACCAGATGACTGGAGTCTACACGGTCGTTGGCTATAAATAAGTAGCAAGCTCATTCTGCATTCCACTTGGAAGGCTACTCATAATACTTAAAGTACATTTCAACAGATTGCACTGAACCGAAAGCCCCACTTTCCCCTTGTTTACAGTAGGCACAATGTCTCATCAAAAGTGGAAAAAAGAGACTCAAGAAATCAGTCCACGTATCAGTATACCCTTCTCTAATAGAAGTTACAAAGTATAACAAATCTGTCAGAAAAGAAGAAAAAGATGATTCGTGTACTTGGTCAACTTTAATTTGTGAGGTGAATGACGTTAATATGGTAAAGAACAAAGTTGACCCAAACTTCTGACTTTAGGGGGCTTACATCTTAGTTGAACTGGATGACCCAAATGTCACTGATCTTGAAGTCACAGAGGGAAAGGGCTCACACATGCGGACACATCGGGTGTGACGGGAATGCCCACTGACCTTGTCTGGCCGCCTTGATGTTCACAGGCTGAAAGCCCCCGTTGAGTGCTGAAGAGTCAATGATGTCAGACTCAAAGTCACGATGATTCTTCCGATACACAAACAAGGCCACCACTACCGAGATGGCCAGGCACACTATCACTGCTATGACAATCCCCACGTAGAGAGCGACGTCATCTGAGTCCGGAGCAGCTAGAGGGGAGGAAGAAAATGCTGGACCAGCTGCTTAGAGAAACTTCCCACACTACACATATGCATTGCTATATATTTTTCAGACATTTATTGCCTTTTTTATAGGTTAATTTCAAATCTATTTCAAAAGCTATATAAAATAGCTGTGGCCTTTCAGTGGAAAATTATTTCTGATTTCTTTTCCTTTCCCACTCTGCATCTATCCACCCACTAATCTATCTTATAATTGGGCAGCATAACAGACCATTGACTACTAGGTATATAAAGAAACTGGAGCTAAACCCATCCTGACCCACAGGAGATGGAAAATGTTTGTTACTCACTTCAGGTGGAAAAGTTTGGAAGGGTTTTTGAGTTAAATAATAGTTCTTGAAAAACATCAACATCAACACCGTTAGGAACCTGGCATGTTTTGAGTGTGTATGTTTATTGAACCGGAATATTTTCCTAAGTATCATTCCAAGTCATAAAATTACTTTCCATAAAACTCTTCTCCCTTTCCCCTAAGTCAATGGAGGGGTGGGTGGGGATGGTATATGGAAGCAAAGCAAATATTAGGAGCAAACATATTGGATTTGAAAGGTGTGCTTTCAGAAGATGCAGGTCTGGGGGGTGGAGGTTAACGCTGATAACCTCTAAGGCCAGGCTTTTGATACAGATGCAATATTGACTTTGAGAACCCTGAGCTTCCCACGCTCCCTTGTAAGAGATTTACATTTGAGCTACTCATTACTGGAATGAAATATAACTATGGTGCACTAAGTAAGATAAAGTCATGGTTCAGTGCTCAGACGGGTCGGACTACCCAAAAGGCAAATAAGCATTTGACCAACACAGTGTGCAGTCATTTGAGAGCATACTTGTGGGTAAAGCAAAAACAGAATCCCTGCAAAGGATGCCTATCATGTTGGGGGCATGGAATGTGCTTTGATCCAACTGAAAAGGTGATAGAGGCTGATAATCAAAATCAAAACTAAACCTTTGCTGAACTCTTGAGACCCTTTGAGTCTCTCTTTTTTAGTTTTCTATAACCCACAAGAAATATTCAGTGGAGTTAACCAAAGCTGCTCTGTTCACTGTGAAAGAGGAGGTTAAATTAATACTTCAGGCAGTCAAGAGCAACCCAACATTTTATAGTCAATTTGATATGCATGTGCGTTTTGGGGGAAGAGAGAATTTTCAAATTTGTAGGTCCCATGATGTCCTAAGACTTCAGGGGCCACTCCTCTCTCAAGACAGTCATGTGGTTTATGGTGATGAAAACAATTCATGGCTGGTGGCTTATGTGATAGCCAACCCACACTCTAGATAGGTAGCTGTCCTGCAGGACAGTATACATGAATTCCTTATGGAAACTACTCTTTTTTTTTTTTTTTAGCATTTTGTGTTTAAATGTATCATATGGGAAAGGATTTCGCTTTCTTTTTTAAAATACTGTCCTTGAAGCAGACCAGCCACTCTTTCAGTAATTAAGCCAATGTTGGCAGATTTTTTTCAGAAAACTAATGACATCCCAAATACTTGTGGCTGTGTGAGGTGCTGCTTTGAGGTGCGGACTTCACTTTGCTGCTGAGTTTCATCCGAGGCTCTGCCCTAGGATTCTGAACCCAGGACAGATATTCTATCTAACTCCTTAACGTTTTACTCTACTGGGCCATAATTACTTATTTCACATTCATGATTTCTAGCTCAACAGATATGCCTTTTCTCAACCCTCTTGTTTTCAGTATTTGAACTGTGCCCTTTACTTCTATCAGCATATTTCATGATATATTGTCAGCTACTGAGACTCAAGCTTTTTACTGGTAGACGGATAGATGTTAGAGCTGGCAGAGTCATGAAATGACCCTTTCTTCTCTGCAGCAGTGAAAATCTAATTTGTTTTCCATGTTCGAATATATTAAGCTCCTTTTTCCTGTGTGCACATCTGTGAGCCCAAGAAAGGTAAACTTGAACCGGGAGCAATAACGTTAAATGATTATCCAGCAACATAAAATCCAAACATCCAACTTACAAGAAAATCCATATTCATTCTGGGTTCTCTGTTCAGTTGAAATAGGATAAATGAAACCTTGAAAAGAAAAAAAAATAAAACAAAAATGGGAACAAAATCAAATTAATGAGGGCAACAAAATGGGAAGCATGAAAAATGGTTTAATTAAAAGGAAAGGGAGAGAAACCTGTGGTCCTTTGAAATTCTGGTTTGGTACAGAATTATGATTTTGCATCTTCTGTCTGCTCTGGAGCCTCACTAAGAATTAATAAGTAGGCAGATTGAATTTCTGAGCAAAAACTGGTCTCGAGTCACTAACTTTGGAGTGCTTAAAGTCTCTCTTTTATTGAGCATAAACTCTAATGGATCTAATTTATTTCAGACATCAAGGGTCATTAGCATAAGGAAAATCTTTTTTTCTTCATCCCTGCCATATGCTTTAATTCCCAGGACATATTCAGTAAGCCTCTAAACAGTTTTTTTTTTCTTTTTTATTTAATCATAACAGCTTGCTCTGGGTCTACTAGAACCAAAGAAGACCTGTTGTCACTGGTCAAAGGTTAAGTGGCCATTTACTGGGCTGAGCAGAGCCCACCTCTCCCATCCCATCTCAAATCCACTTTCGGATTTCCTGTTGTTTCTTACCCCCTTCATTTAATAGGAATCCAATAGGTATTGCCCAGGGACTGAGCAGTTTGGCAATGCAATGGAAACGGAATGCTTTTTACTAGAAATCATTAGAAAAGGAATAGGTCTGAGAGGTTGTAAGATTATTAATTCTAGGCTCCAGAGGAATAGTGACAATTGGGCAAAATAAAAACCTCATCTCAATAGAATTGCAGAAATAGCACTAGCTGTTTTCTTTTTCTTTTTCATATATTCTGAGGTTGCCAACTAATGGGAAGAGTAGCATAATATAATAAGGATCTTAACGTGGAGAAGAGCAAGGCAGGAGACATCACACACACATGCGCAGCACAAACTTGTCAAATGCAAAATCCCATGGAAAGTTTCTCGTATAACTGGCAGCCACCGTTCCAAAGGTTTAATATTCTACAGCACCATCAAACGATACGGAACTATTTGGGTTAATCAAATGAAAATGAATAGGAAACATGTGAATGAAACCTTCCTAGGAATATTCCAGGGCCCCAAACACAGGGACACTGTGAGAGTCACAATTAACTGGTTCAAAATGCAAGGCCAGCGAAACTTTAACGCTGACAGCCACTCTGCCTCGTGCCCCGGGTGGCGCTTCTGTCGTCTGCAGCACACTCAGCTCTTACAAGCTATTTACCTATTTTGGGGGGAACTAATTCTGGAGAAACACACGGTGCTACCTTAATGAAAGAGAGGTTTGCTGTAGCACAGACAGGTTTGCTCTGAATTAATTTTTAATGTTTTATTTTAGAGCAGTGATTACAGCCTCCTACTCAGTTTTATAAATATTATATTCCTTATTCCGGTTGTCTGAGTCCGCGTATTAGGTTTGATTTTCATTTTTAAACACCTCCGTCTGGTAATAACCTTTTTCCATTTGTATTCTGTGAACTCAATAAAAGGACTCCTGGGACGCGTGCAGGCTTTAGTTTTAAAACCCAGAGGCTGAAGACAACACAAGCTGGTAAAGGAGACCAGATAACGTTGCATCCTCTTGGCAGTGATGACGTGAAGCAGAGGAATGTCAAAAGCTTATTTTTGTAGCCAACAGGGCAAGGAAACAAGTATAAAATAGGATATTTGGAAATGTTCTGATGTTCATCCTGAAAATTTTGCAAAGGATCAGCCTGGGCCTGCTTGAGCAAGCAGAAGAGCTGTAGCTTATAAAAGAGAAGTGTGTCTCCAGAGAGATACGACACAGTCTGAAATTTCCCCACCAAAGCAGTGCTGGGGCTTCTATCCCTTATGTTTCTACTTTCCAACAGAATTCCTGTTCTTCACAGGCAGAGCGAAGAATAATAGAAAAGAAACTTATAGTTTTTCTTTTAATTTCAACTTTCATATGTTTATGTAGATTTGAACTGCTCAGTATTTTTGTGCCTTGTGGTATTCATCTGAGACTTAAATATTAGTACATGCACAGAACTGGCATTCATTCATTCGTTTATTCAATAAATACTCTTGAACCCTATTACATTCTGGGTTCTATTTTAGACATGGGGGTACCTTCCTGCACCTTCCATTCTAGGTTAACAAAAAACAATCAAGTAAACAAAACAAACCAAAAAAAAAAAAAAAGATCATTTCACATGTACACCGTGGAATATTATGCAGCCTTAAAGAAAGATGGAGACTTTGCCTCTTACATGTTTACATGGATGGAGCTGGAAAATGTTCTTCTTAGCAAAGTATCTTAAGAATGGAAGGAAAAGTATCCAATGTACTCAGCCCTACTATGAAACTAATTTATAGCTTTCATATGAAAGCTATAACTCAATTATAGCTGAAGAATATGGGGAAAGGGGAGGGGAAGGAAGGAGTGAGGATGGGTGGAGGGAAGGTGAGTGGTGGAACCACACCTATGGTTCATCTTACAAGGGTACCTGTGAATCTTTCTAAATGTAGAATATAAATGTCTTAACACAATAACTAAGAAAATGACATGAAGGCTATGTTAACCAGTTAGATGAAAATATTTCAGATTGTATGTAGAACCAGCATACTGTACCCTATGACTGCATTAATGTACACAGCTATGATTTAATAAAAAAATTAAATAAAAATAAAACAAAAAATGTAATGTGATTAGAGATAGAAGGATGCCGACTTAGGGAATTAGGGAAGCATTTTTTATTGAGATGAGATCTGGGCTGTAGCATAAAGGATGAGAAGGAATCAGCCAAGTCAAGGCCAGAAGGCAGTTGTGTTCAGTGAGAGTCCCAACATGAGAACAGAGTGGTAGGAGGGCACCAGGGGAGCCAGGTGGGGTCACCTGCCCGCCTGGCTGTCCACAATGAGGAGTTTCGATTTTATTCTTAGTGAAATGCTAATCCTGTGATGGAATGCC